TGTAGATCGTTTTCACTGTCACGCAATAAAAACATAGATGGAAAACCACTAAGAAAATGATGTCAAGAAATTGTGATGTTATAGGAAATAAAAAAAGAAGACATTTCTACGAGTGTTAGGTCTGTGCGTTTTCCCAAACTTGAGATATTCGTCGAAACTTTTCACAGAAATTCACAGAGCCCAGTGTGAAAACGCCACGTTGGTGTACATGCGTGGTACACCAACATAGCGGCCCGAAAATAGTGTAAACCGGGCTTACTTTGGCTATCTAGGTGACTGGTTATCTGTAGGAAACAAAAAAGGATTTACTTAAGAAATTGTCCTTACTTTTAAAACGGCTAAAACTCATGAGATATGTTTATATTTTTCCACAAACTCTGTGTCACGCACCGCCATAACTCTGAAATTCAAACTGCGCTAGTATTCGAACGAAGCACACTATTGAGCTGTAAAATTCTGAACAAATATATAATTACCACCTCTTATGTCTGATGAGGATGAAAACTTTGGTGGCTCTTTAGTTTTTGATTTTAGACAATGATGACGTCACGTTAAAATGATCTACGCGAGAAACGGAAGTGATTTCGAAAAAAGGAACCGGAAGTTAAAACATACTTTTCTAGGAAAAGGCGAATTAGCTTTTAGGCAAAGCTTTTCTAGGAAAAGCTTTCTGGGGTACTATTGTTGGCAATCAGTTGGAAAATTACTCCCCTGAATACTTTTAAAGCGTTACTTTAGTAGAAATTACTGTGAGATTAANAAATGATCTACGCGAGGAACGGAAGTGATTTCGAAAAAAGGAACCGGAAGTTAAAACATACTTTTCTAGGAAAAGGCGAATTAGCTTTTAGGCAAAGCTTTTCTAGGAAAAGCTTTCTGGGGTACTATTGTTGGTAATCAGTTGGAAAATTACTCCCCTGAATACTTTTAAAGCGTTACTTTAGTAGAAATTACTGTGAGATTAATCTAGCCTACGTCAGTCATCATTTATTGTTGGTACCAATCAGTCTAGCTGGATCTATAAACTGTGCTATTTGTTAGTAAGAGGTCAACAAAACTGGTTTACTACTAAAAGAACTGACAGTGATTTAAAACTACATCGTCTCTAAAGGCATTATAATATCCATTAAATTATATAATAATTTAGCTTGCAGCCAGTAAAATTAATAATACTTAATAGCTTGTTTTCAACTATACAAAATAAAACTGTCACCTAATATATACTGACAATATTTCAATCACTCATTTTCTGCAGAATGTAACAGAAAAAAAATATTTCAAGCTAGGCTATGATTGTCACAAGAACCTTGCGAAAGAATATTAAGTAGCAATGAAAATCTTGACCTACACAAAAACAACAAGAGCAACAACAACAATAACAACAAACTAAATACTGCAGCTAATAATAGAAGTTGCTCAAAACTGACAAAACTTGATGCTATATTAATTACAAAATTTTAGCGCAAATTTGTGCAAAACATCCAATTGTCCCAGAAGCTCCCAGACGTTTTCATAACTATGTTACATTTTATATTGTTTTAATTTTCATCTTATGTTAGTGTGCGATACCTGTAAACTAGCTGGTTTGCTGTTGCAGCCCCTTTCGGCGTTCTACGTCAGCTAACCTACACAGCGAAGCGTATTACACAATAAATTTTCATTGTCATTTGTCATTGAGTATATCAGTTACAACCCAACACTTTCAAACACATGGCATTTTGATAGTCACTGAAATTTTGATAACATCATAATATTTTGATATTTTAAGC